ATGTTAATAACTCCGGACTAGATGAGCAGAATCCAACAAACGAGGGCTCGTTTAAAAGAGCGTTTCTTACTCTATATTATACCATAATAATAATACTAATAAGGTTTTGAACGTAGACGCTAGGGGGTGCTTTCTTACACTTTAACAAACATAACGCGTTTTTTCAAAAAAATTAAACACGATAGTATGTACTATTTTAGCTGGTAGTAAAGAGTAGTAAAAACTTAAAAAGTCAGCGAAAACCGCATTTTGATATCTTCTTTCGAACCGAAGATATTAGCAAAATTATAATAAATACCAAAAAATAAGCCCTTAATTACTTTATTTTTACAATACAGTATCAGTAGCCCTCTTGATTAGGCCCATTCTAACAAAAAAATAAGATAGAAACAGTTAGTTTATTTAAAATCGGCGAAATATCTTCTTCTTAAAGTGCCGTGCAGATTCCTGCATAGGCGTTCATCTTTCTCTTCCTCATCAGATGGTTCTATTAACTGTGACATGGAGTGCTTGGAAGTCCTGTATGCCTGTCCAATGACGAATATTTCTCAGCCAGGATAGCTTCCTTCGGCCTATTCCCCTTTTGCCCCCCTCTATTTTACCCTGGAGAATCAGACGCTGAAAGTGATAGCGTTTTCCACGTAGTATGTGTTCCAAATAGGCTATTTTCCTCTTCTTGATGATTTCGAAGAGTTCACGTTCTTCTAGACCAGCTCTTCTGAGAATGTCTTCATTCCTCACACGGTCGACCCAGGGCACTATTAGCATTCATCGTAGGGTCCACATTTGGAAGGCTTCAATTCGGTTTATTGTTGCTACCTTCAGTGTCCATGCTTCCACACCATATAACAAAACGGACCAGACATAGCACTACTTCTGTATCCAACTAGCCATTCTGTATCTAAGGCCGAAGTTCAAGTTCCTATCTGTGAGAAATCTTAGCAGTCTCAGAAAAGTAGATCTTGCTTGTTCGATCCTGCATTTGATCTCCTGATCTGGATCCCACGTTTCGTTAACCATGTATCCCAAATGTTTAAATTGTCTTGATGACCTCTCCATTTAAGTAAATTCTGGTGTTAGGAATATTGTTTCTGCTAACAGCCATAAATTTAGTTTTTGTAGTATTTATATTTAACCCAGTCTTTAGCTTTAATTGTTGACCTTAGAATACAAGAATACCATAGAATACCATATAAATACCAGAATACCATAATACCAGATGTATCAATATCTAATAATTAAGATATTAATAATAGTGAACAAGAAACGATGATTCACTGAAGTCATGGTAAGCTTTGGAAAAAAGTTGCTTTTCGAGTAATAGTATAAGCGTCAAATTGTTATTAGATCAACATTTTTATAGTCTTAGCAGCGTTTTCTTTTAAATGCTTTTTCAAAATGCCTTTATTATTTGAAGTAGTTGAAGTTGTTGGCATTTTGAAAAAGCAATCAAAAGATAAAAAAAAACGGTGCTAAGACTATCAAAATGTTGATCTAATAACAATTTGACGTTTATACTATTACATCAAAAGCAACTTTTTTCCAAAGCCTACCATGACTTCACTGAGTCATCGTTTCTTGTTCACTATTATTAATATCTTAATTATTAGATATTAATACATCTGATATTATGATATTCTGGTATATCGTCGATTTTAAAATAAACTAACTGTTTCTATCTTATTTTTAGGATAGAATGGGCATAATCAAGAGGGCTACTGATACCGTGTTGTAAAAGTAAGGTAATTAAGGGCTTATCTTTTGGTATTTATTATAATTTTGCTAATATCTTCGGTTTGAAAGAAGATATCAAGATGCCGTGTTCGCTGACTTTTTAAGATTTTACTACTCTTTACTATCAGCTAAAACTAACAGATCAAATGACTTACCTGTAGGAAATTTGATCCTAATTACACGATCAGTTTTGTCCGAAGTACTACATAAAAGGAATACAAATAGACTAAGTCTTGTCTTGCTGAAATCCGTGCGACATACAAAAATAAACGTGGCAACGCCGCTCCGCACCGTCCTCGCTGCGACTCGCCCCACCAATGTCATTATAAGTTTTGATAAGAGATCGGCTTGTGAGGGGTGGGAGTGACCAAGGCTCTAGGTATAGTTGTGATGTGGTTCATACATAATATTAATTATCACTGTTATTATTTTATAAGATGGCGTGGGTTATGTAGTACTTCGGACAAAACTGATCGTGTAATTAGGATCAAATTTCCTACAGGTAAGTCATTTGATCTGTTAATTACACTTCTCAGTTTTGTCCTCGTACTACATAAAAGGAATACAAATAGAGTAGCTGTTTAGAGAATGAAAAAGACGATCTCTAGAAAATAGCTTTATTCCCTATAAGCTTTGTATAATATATACTTAAGTAATTTGTATATATTTATAGGAAAGGCACCTTTTAAAGGTGTGTAACGCAATATAATAATATAACCATTAAACTGTATGTTTACATTGTAACAAACATATAGGTATATAACGTAATTACAAGGAACAGAACGCACTAAATCTTAAAGTAAGGAACTCTTATTTTAACAGGTAATACTGGATCCTTGGAGGACCCCTTTTGCAAAGAGATCCGCCGGTGTTGATATTGGTTTATTATAAAATTTATTAAAAACGTTTGATTTTTCAGTCCATCCTGCATATTTTCTTATTTCCTCAATGTTAACTCCGCCTCGGTATGCGGCCGAAGTTGAGGCATGCCGAGTGCTGTGGCCTGAAAATTTGCTTGTATCAACACCCGCGGATTTCAGAGTCGAGCGGATCCATCTACTTATCGTTTGGCTTGTGGCCGTATGATAAGGTTTCCTGTGTGTCAGTATTAAATAATCATTATTATCGGCGCGGAGGCTTTTAGTTGTGTTTAGATAAAATAAAACCGTAGATGCTAAACACAACCCTGGTTTGTCTCTAAAGAATGGTAACTTTAGCACAGGTTGAAATTTATTTTTCCCGCTAGTTTTGACGGTATCTGGGATCAGTATTTCGATCCTATCATCAAACTGATTTATATAACTTAATCTAATTTTTGAGAATGTTTGTACTCTATGCGCCGTAATAATTGCTAACAAAGTAACTAACTTATGTGATAACTTTTCTAAGGATAAAGTACTTAAAGGAAACATATTTTCTAACAGACTCAGTACTGGGTGAGGATCCCAGGTTGTATTGTATTTTGGCCTTGGTGGCCTTTGGTTATAAATACCTTTTAAGTATCTTTTAATTATTCCCTCATCTCGAGTGTCGATGGGGAGTACAAAGGATAATGCTGACTTGCACGCGTTAATGGACGAATAAGAGTTAGAGTTATCTACTTGTATACTTAGAAATTTAATAAAGGTAGTAAGGTCGTAGGACCATTTATCGTGATTTATGTTACAACAGAAACCCCACCATTTTTTAAACCAGGTGTCATATTGTTTTAGTGTACTGTCAGCTACTGATGCTACTATGGATGCAATGGCCTCTTCGGGAAACCCTTTCTTTAGAAAGGCTTCCCTGATAAATGGCCGGCAGCCAGGGTAATTGTCCGCCATAAGGGGTGAGGTTTCCTGAAAGGCGATAAAAGTAAGGTTTTACTTGGCTTAAAGAATAATATTTTCCCCACAACCAATCTCTTAAACAGGGGAACCAAGGTTGTGTGGGCCACCATGGTACTACGACTAGACCTTCTGCCTTGTCCATTATGATTTTATTAAGCATTTTTTAATATTAGGCTAAATGGGGGAAGGCATAAAAGAAATCCTGTGACCAACATGTGGTAAAACTATCAGTTCCCGATGCTCCCGGATCCGGTTTCCAAGAATTATACCTTGCGCATTTTGCGTTAATTCGACTGGCAAAAGGTCTATTTGCGAAGTTCCATGAATGCGGCATAAGCGTTTATAATGAATATTATTTAATTCGTATTCCGTATCAATATTTTTACAGCGAGACTCAGAATCTGCCTGTTTATTATTTTTAGAGCTAATGTATGTTGCAAAAATATATAAGCCTTTTGATTCGCAATATTGCCAGATATGTCTGGTAATAGTGTTAAGTTTTCTGTGTCTAACGCTACCCATTTTATTAATTAATGCTATGGCAGTGACGTTATCTATTTTCAATAGTATGTTCATATGTGTAAAAGACTTGTAAACGCTTTTAAACAATGAAAAGCTGCTGCCAATTCTAACCAGTTTATGTGATTTTTTGATTCTTCTTGTAGCCAAAAACCGTGAATGTTCTCGTTATTACAACTACCGCCCCAACCACTGTTTGAAGCGTCTGTGAAAATAGTGATGTCGTAGTTGCCTTGAAAAATTGGAACATATGAACATGCTAATGAATTCTGCCACCACTCAAGGTCTGATCTGACCCCTCGCGATAAGGATATATTATGATTGTATGATTTTCCGCTCTTTAGGGCTTTATACTTTTCCCCCTCGAGAGATTTTATATACAGTGGTCCGTACCTTACTGCTGGGCAGGCTGCTACTAAGTGACCAATTATTTTAGCGAAAAGCTTTATGGAACAGATACGTATTAACAACACGTCATTGATTAAAGATATGATTAGCTGGCTTTTTTCTGAGGGTAGCGAAAGACGCATGTTTTTCGAATCTATGAAAAAGCCCAAAAAACAACAAGTATTATTGGGATTTAACTGGCTTTTATCGTAGTTTACGTTAAAACCAAGATTTGTCAACACTTGTAGGGTTAAGGTGATGTCTTTTTTGCTTTTCTCCATAGTAGGGCTGATTAGGAAAAAATCATCTAAATAACAAACGCAGATTATGTCACGTGTTCTAAGGAAATGAAGTACGGGCTTCATTATCTTTGTAAAGATGAACGGGGCCGAACAGAGACCAAAAGGTAAGGAATTAAATTGAAATAGTTCGTTTTGAAAGCAAAACCGCAAAAATTTCCTATATTTTTCATTTATCTGTATTGAAAAATATGCATCCCTTAAGTCTACTAGGGTAAAAAAACAACCAGGGTATGTTAATTTAATGGCAGTGCGATAATCCTCAAGTTTAAAGTGGGGGGCTTCTAAGTGACAGTTTAAAGATTTTAAATTAAGTATGAAACGGTACTCACCGTTTGTTTTCTGTCTTAGAAAATATGAAGAAACATATTGTGTTTTTGAACTTGTACAACGGGAAATGGCGCCCATTTCCAACATGCTGTCAATTAATTTTTTACAATTTTCATGTTCTAACCGTGTTAACTTAGGTTCTTTAATGGAATGTCTTGTAGGGGGGGATGATATGAAGTTAAATTTAATTCCCCTTAACCAACTTAAAACTTGAGGGTTACTTGTCAGCATTTCCCAATAATGTAATCTAGATCTAGTCTTGCCGACACACATGTGCGGATCATTTTTTATGCTCACCATTAATATTGGGTCCTTTTCTTTTTCAGCCGGGCTTGGTTGTATGAGACCCCTTGGGTGTTCCGACCCTTCGCTTTGTAGTTCCATTGGTTCTTGTATTTGGACTTGTATTTGGGGCGCTGGTAGTTTTTTGAACTGGTGGAGGGGTTCTGTAATCTAAGATCTGAGGACGTCTTCTGTATTTCCTTGGATGACTTCAGTTTCTCCGCAAACTTGTCCCCAAATAAAAACTCGTCTATTGGGTAGTCTTCGATGATCTTCCTCACCGAGCTGTTCAGATGAGGTAGAATAACATGGCGCCTGTGTGTAGATATGCTATGATGGACATTAGTTAAGATTTTCGCCGCATCAATACTGGGTTTTAAGAATTCATTAGACTGTTCGCTTGGATTAGGGAAGCAATTGCCTAAAGGTTTCCCTAAAGCGGAGATGGCTACCCCAATTTCGTCTTGTATCCTACTAAGGTACATGTCTTGTCGGTTCAAGCTTTCGTTTAAACATGTTGCAATTTCCATGTTTAGTTTAGGTGCGAGTAATTCTTTACAGTTTCCTACGATAGGGTAACTGTCGATCAAAGCTTTTTTGTCATCTTTTTCAACCCCTTTTCTTAGAAATTCGCTCCAGCGCATTACAATATCTTCGTGAATGTTTTCTCCAAACTGTTGGGTAAGGTTTGGTTGTTTACCTATGATAATAAATAATTACATTTATTATTGTTTCCCAAACTGTTGGGTAACTTTTGTATATACCTAATAAGGTAATTATTGCGTCCGAGGTGTTTGGTTTGTTACTGCCTGCATTTATCGCCGGGCTATCGATGGGTTCAAGCGGGAGATTCACTGGGCTCCGCCTTCCCCTTTCGGAACCAGAGTGATTATCTTCACTGGAAGAATCATCACTGCCGGAGGATGATGCGTCATCGCCTGCAATGAAACGCATAATTATTAAGTTTGTTGACCACTGGGCCTTCAAACAAAATATTACTGTCAACCATACTTCGCAAGACCACTGGGTCAAGGAGTTAGGTTAGGTTAGATATTAAAATTCACACATAGTTGTGCAATTCTTTATTTAAAGTATGGTTAACCAGAGAGTATAGAGGCGATAATTTACTGAAAACACGCCTCCCCCCCGTTTCCATGTGCACTGTTTTACCTAGGTTATGAAAAAACTGATAATACTTACTTGATACATCCTCTAAACGCTCCCAAAGTTGGTTTAGGCGATTCTGCTTCCGTTTCAGCCTCTTTTTAATTTCATTTTTGGACCTGTTTCTACCCATTTCGCCGTAAACACGTAAAAAACACTTTACAAAACACTCGACGCACGAACCTCGTTGACGACAAAACTTATAATGACATTGGTGGGGCGAGTCGCAGCGAGGACGGTGCGGAGCGGCGTTGCCACGTTTATTTTTGTATGTCGCACGGATTTCAGCAAGACAAGACTTACTCTATTTGTATTCCTTTTATGTAGTACGAGGACAAAACTGAGAAGTGTAATTACATATACTATTGCATTTAATTTTTTTGAAAAAACGCGCAATGTTTGTTAAATTGTAAGACAACGCCCCCTAGCGTCTACGTTCCAAAGCTTATTATTATTGTTTATATGGTACAATATAGAGTAAGAAACGCTCTTTTAAATGAGCCCTCGCTTGTTGGATTCCGATCATCCAGTCCAGAGTTATTATTATTCAAATAAAAACAGATCTAACCTTCCGCCACCACTTTATTTTGGTAGATAGGGGAAAATGGCTCTAACAAAAAATATTCAAAATTTACTGAAGATTATGAAGCTGTTACTTATAGTACACCTTATCTAGGCAAAAAAACTAGGCTTGTGTAAAAACTCCATTTTATTATTATTTGTTGCAGTTGCGCCCCCTAGCGGTCGTTCTACAAACTTTAACTATATAATTTCTAGCAATTTCCCATAGCCTCTTTAGTTATAAATATTTTTATCCGCAGCCACTACGGCTAATACTTTCCGAGATACAGCCGAGAGCTATTCTTAGTGGGACACCCTGTACAATGATTGTGGATAGAATCAATTTTCTTATATTTAAAAATTAGGGATAGAGTATTTTGATTACGTTATATTTTCCCTATTTTGAATGAAAACAAAATTTACATCCAGCAGCGGAAGCCTAGATTCAATTATGAAATTATCGACCAGCGTCACATATGAATGACATAAACTGAAGCAACAATCATATTTTTGTGTTTTTGTTTCGTTTGCCCGAAGGTGGGATAGCCTGGCTTCATTCCAAATCGTTTTCGTTTAAATTTGAACGAAACATCGAATTCCAGCGCATAAAATTCCATATTTTTAGCAAATTTCGGTATATTTTTCTTTGAAAAATCCACTCATCCGCTAAATATAACATTTTCCACGGTTCATGATATCAAACTTTATCGAGATCGATAAATAAACTGATCACTGAATTTACTAAAATGTCTTGTATTCTGTATAATAATATCGTTTAATTGACATTTGTAGGAAAACCCTTTACAACCTCTGTCAATAACGCTGATACATCTTGCATTAATACGATACTAAAATATTTATAACTAGTTCTCCATTTTGAGTAGAGCAGCACAAAATAAATAATGTATTTTAGTTCTGAATCGTTTTTCAGAATTTATACCATATAAACAAACTCTGTTTTTCTTTTTAAATTGTATGTATTTTGGTAGAGAATAAAACAGTTGGTAAACACAACAAAGTATTTGACAGAATACCTATTTATTCAACAATATTTTTGGTAAAATTTTTAATACCAAAATAATTTCCATGTGTGTTCCATTTTTCAATCTTAATAATTGACTAAAACAATTAATATAATAAAATCAATAAAAGATGGCCTGCACGTCATCAAAATATTTGACTTTTGAGACGTGTCAAATAAAATTCGTAATTTTGTCACCAATTTTTCACTTCAATTTTAGTCTGAATACATACAGAGTATGTCTCCGGATTATCTTTACAAGAGGAAACACTGTTTTATTATGGACATTTTGACAAGGCTGCATGATTCATAAAAATGTTTGCTTGTTCTAAAATGGTTAATCCCATTTATACTTGTCCAAACTTCCATACTGTTTTAGAAAAGATTAAAAAAAACATGAAAGTAGGTATTAGGGCACTTGAGCCAGACAGACAGATATCCGATATGGATAAATAGGAGTGTGACGTAAATCAGGTAAGAACAAGGTAAGAACAAGGTTCTTACCTGATTAATAAAGGTAAGAACAGTTAAAATACGCTAATAAACCAGAATAAACAGGTTTAAACAAGAAACAACCGCTATTGAACTGTTTTGAACCGCTTTTTAGCTTAAAACAACAGACCTGTTCATTTTTTGTTTAAACCTGTTTATTTCTATTTTAAAGCGGTTGTTTCTTGTTTAAACATGTTTATTCTTGTTTATTAGCGTATTTTAACTGTTTCTACTTTTTCTATAATTATTAAACAAACAATTTCTAATTAAATGACGTTATCAGCAAATTTTTTGAATGAAAGTCGAAGAATGTAAAACTCTAATTGGTTAACATTAGTCTTTGGTGAGATTCTAACTCGCAGTCCGTAAACTGCTATTGATTGTCGCTGAAATCTCTATTGATTTTCAATGAAACCCGTAAAACTTAAGCAACAATATTAAATGTTATTTCTCTAACGTGTTTAATGGCAAAAGTGGCTCGCCATGGTCTCGTTTGTGTTCAAAATAATTCATTAGAGACAAGATAAAATCCTGATATAGTAAACGCCACGAATGTTTGGGAGTGATTCATCGGTCGCTACCATGTGAACTAATCTGTTCAAGGTCATATAAAACTTAATTCCAGTGCCGTGGTGTTTCAAGTCATATAATAATCAATATATAATCTGTTGATAATCAATAATATGGAGCATTCCAGCAAACTGTCAAAGTCTTGTCAAAACATATATTTGGTTATAAATATAAACTGGAATGCCTCACTGGTCGCACTGCAAGCACACCAATGGACTGACGTCATTCACGCTAACATTTTAGAATAAGTAGGAGGAGCGCAGGCAGATGATTAGACCGGGCCTTTAAAAACCTACGTCTGCGGTAAAAATTTACGTTTTTAATGTAAAAATGATAGCGCGCGTGTCGATTCTAACTTCATCAAGCGATGAATCACTCCCAAACAAGCGTGGCGTTTACTGTACCTGATATTTGTGGTTTTGACATTTTATTGCAATGAAAATCGCTGTTTTAACTAAACAAAATGCAGATTTTATTTCAAATTTGTCAAAAGAAATTCAGAATACAATTGAAAATGGCAAATGTCAGATTCGGAAACATTAATAAAATCGAAAATAACAAATATCAGAATAAAAAATTTAATGTTAAATTCAAGATCAAAGTCCAAATCATTGTCAAAAAAATTCTTTATTGATGACCGGTTTCGGCAATTCTAGCTATCATCAGATCTTTATCAAAGACTGTTGTTCGTTTGACTTTATATATAAAATTTTATATAAGAAAAGGTCTTTAAAAAAATGCCATTTTTACCATGGGCCACCGCACTTTGTGAAAATAAACCAACTCTAAAAAATATCAGATTTGCAAAGAAAAAATGACAACCTCATGACAACCGGCAACATTTGCTATGACTACCAGCATAAAGCATTTTTTTGTTCGTTAGGCAAATTTGTTTATCTGTAAACCTAACTGCTGATAAGTAGTTTCCGTTGGGTTAACGCAGCAGTGTTTACAAAAAATTAAATTTAATTTTGTAGATTTTCTTGCAGTGGCGATATACTATATGTATGTATTTATTACCTATAAAATATTAAATTAATTATAAATAATACTGAAACATTTTTTTTTCTATCCATGACACAACATTGCCCATCAGTGCTATTTGTATGACTAATAAAAAGTTAGATGCACTTTACCACATTGAAAGTTTAGAGGCCCAACGAACAAAACGGTCTGTTGACTGTTCAAAAGTCGACTGTCTATAAATAAATGTCGCAAACTTTGATTGGGCGTGGAATCTATAAATACAAACGCCCCAAATTTTTGTACAGTATCATTTAAATTCTGCTTGATTTTGATACTGCTGTCTTAAAACCAGAATTTATTTAATAGAAGACAGGTCCAACTAATTAGTAAAATCTAATAAATTTAAAGCTCACTAAAGCTACGCACATAGGATTTTAATTAAAGTAAGTTTATTTGAGTGCTATTTAAATTTAATTAATCCTTTTTACTGTTCATAAATAATATTTAATCACAGTTTTGAGTTTTTGTACTAATTGCTTTATTTAGTTTTTTTCGTAAATGTAGTGTAATGCCGTTATTTGTCTCTCGTTAATTTGCATTTATTTTTTTCTAAATCAGATTTAATTTGTTGACTCCATTATAAAACCAAGTAACATACAGGGTGTTTCTGAATAGTGTCCAATATTATACTGGGTAATTTATCAAGTTCTTTTAAGATAAAAAGTCCATGTAAACATTTGTTTAAAAATGCTTCGTTTTCGTGATACAGGGTGTCAAAATTTGGTACAGGTTTTAATATTTTCTGAAATTTTCACCAGTAAAGTTCGTACTGGGTGAATCTGTATGGACTGAATATTTTTTTTGAAAAGGAAATAGTAGCCACGATTTTGCTTAAAATAAATATTATTTTTAGTGTGCCATTATAGAACAAATAATTATCCCTTGTTTATTAAACCATGTTAGCATCATCAGCAGATGATTAAACCTAAGCTTAAAAAACTAGTTTTAATCATCTGCTGATGAAGCTAACATAGTGAACGAGACGCGCGTCCAGTGTGAAAGAAATTCAGTGCAAAAGTAAAGTGTTTTGGTGTATTGTGGTAAATTAATGGGTTTTGTTTTGCAGTTATAACACCAAAGATTCCAACACCCCTGGCTGTAATGTACTTTTTATCTAAAAAATACTTGAAAATCACTCTGTGAAATACTGGACACTTATTTAGAAACACTCTGTATAGGTGTTGACAAAATAGAACTTAGCATCAACTGTCATAGTCACCTTGACTAAGTATTGTTATTAAGTATTAAGTAACTGTCATAGTCACCTTGACTAAGTATTGAAAGTTTATTGAAATAACATAAATAAACTCCTAATAGCAGAGAATTAATATTATAAAGAAAAATCTCACCTACTCAAAATTTTGATTAAGTAAATATTTTTCTTTAATATTTCACGATTTAAATTAAATTTATAGGTTTATTTCTGATCTATTTAAAGTCTTTTTATTAGGTGTTCTAGCTATATTGATGAAAGAATAAAAACTCAATCTCATCATTTAATCTATCCTTGTACTTCAAAGACGTCATTTTTCTTATTTAAGATCATATTTCTGTAAATATACCTACACCCACAATTGCCTTTCTAGTAAGTTAATAAAAATAATATAGATGCTATTAAGCGAGTTTAGTATGATATAAAATGATATTTAAGATATATTCGCTATCGACCCACAAGTCACTTTGAATCAATTTCTTTTAGGGGATAAATTTTAAATTTAAAAATAGAATTTTAGATAAAGAGCTTTATCATTTTAAGGCTTTTTTGAGTTATTGACTGGAATATTTTCTTATATCAATACATTATTCATTTTTTACATAAAAAAATTTCAATGCTTAGTACACAGGATTATGAATGTATAGAACAATATTACCGTGATTAGCAAAAATGCCGTAACTACAATCGTTTTTTTTTCACATCAATAAGTTCGAAATTTCATTACCATCTTGGACAATTTCGACCTTATTGATATGAAAAAAATTATACAGGGTCCGGCAATAGTGCGTCGGGCATCTGTAGCTCCTAGAATAAAAAACTTGGGAATTCTTTTTAAGTGCAAATCTAAATTCTCTACTAGGACGTATTTCAGGAAAATATTTTAACTTCTATAGGGTGGCTCAAAAAAGTGTGAGTGGATCGGGATGATTTTTTTTAAACGGAACACCCTGTATATTTACATTTTTGGCTTACTTTCAGATCACTTAACATAATCCTAAGACATGAGTAAATATATTTCGATACTTTCAGAGATATTAATAAATAAATAAAAATTATATATTTTTCAGGCTTTCTTAAAAAAAATATTAATAATACGAGAACTGTCCTGAAATCAAAACTGTTATAGGTATTTACTTTATATGGTCTGTTCTTACTTTGCTATAAATATGGCAATAGTAAATCTTACAGGATGTTCAAAATTCTACGCCAAACTTTCTAAAATATAAAATAATTTTTCTTCGTTTTTTTTAAATGGAACATCCTGTATATTATTTTTTGAATAAATCGATAATTAAAAAATGAACATTTTTTGTATTTAGAGTATTTTAAAATTTTTGACCCAATGATTTTTCTCTCGTATTTTACCATTGAAAGCGCTATATGAAATAATACTGCGTGTATCCGAAAAACTATTAAAAATTTTGAAACACTTCAAATACAAAAAATGTTCATTTTTTAATTCTCTAATTTTAGTTTTTAGTTAAAAAACATAATTTCTTGATAATATGGCAACATAGGTATTTGATTAAATTTACAAGAAAAAAAAATCGAGAAAAGATCCAGTGGTTCTCGAAATTTTAACAAAAATTCATTTTTTTGGAAATTTTTAAAGTAAATTATTTGAAAAACGATAAAGAGAAAATATGTTTCTTTTATCGAGATCTACCACCTCTTAAAATACTTGCACTTATTTCTGGGACACCCTGTATAATATACATACGTGTAGTAAACCGATCATTTATGAAATTCACTTAAAATCAACTAATCATAAATATATTTTCTGGCATTTTTGCCTATATTTACTACTTGTCAAAGATTAGATGTCAAAGAATCAGATACCTGCTTCAGTAGCGTATCGGATGTTTGTGTTAATAAATAATTAATATAATTTATCTATTTTTATTAAAATTGCATATTTTTATAACAATTTTAATATCTATCGACTTTTATTGACAACGTAAAATAAAACAACAAATTATTGAGTCTACCCCACGTCTATCCTACATCATATTTTTACACATTTTCAATAAAATTAGAACAGCACTGATAAACCGAAATTTAAGTCAGCCATTCTAGGATCTCGAGATTTTTGATATGCTCCTTCCTTAATTTTTTTATTCAAAATTTTTTTCTGTGAAATAAAACTATTTTTTATTACAGAAGATGGGCTTACAGATCCACCACGACCGCTACGGTAACCAATACTACACCAACGCCGACGACTACAACGACCTCTATTTCAATTACGGCCTCAAAGGGATGCATTATTTTTACGAACCGAACCGAACCAGATGGTATTATCACTGTTACTGGCCCCAGGAAGCCCTAAATTTCTCCACGGTGGAAGATAAGCTACGACGAGTCGCGGTACGTCATACTAAAGTTGTAAAAGGGGCAGTAAAATAGGTTTAAGAGGAAATGATAAAATAATGGAAATTTTTGGCTGCATTAATAGGGCCTTCTGCTCATTTTAAGCAACGTCAAAGAGAAAAAAATATTTTTTATATCACTCTACCCAAGTAGCATTTTCACGACTTGCGACCACATGTTTACTAAACACAACGTTGGATTAGTTACAAAAAATAGTTAGCTCCGTACCTTGGGTATTAAAATAAATGTAAACGTTTTTGTAACGTTGTGCCGAGGTTGAACTAGTACTACAACAAAGTAAAAGCTTCTGCGACGTCGAATAAACGTTGTCTGCTAACCTTTTTTGCTTAGGTGATCTTTAGGTGATTCGGACAACGTAGTTACAATGTTGGGCAATAAAGAGTTTTCCGACGTCACTTTCAGGACCTATTCCAACGTTATGCAAACGTCGTCTGTTTTACTAATTCCAACGTTGTTTAGATTTCCTTTTTCTTACGTTGGTATGACGTAGAGCCACTACCTTTTTGCAACTGTATTGAACCATAACCATAACATAACATAATAATATTGTATTCACTAATAATATCGAATCTAAAAGGAAAATAACTCAGCTTTACCTGTAGCTTCGAAATGGCAGCTGATTCAGATAATACAGCCAGATTTAAATGACCACCATTTCTCAACACTGGGACTAATGGCGTCTAAGAGGCCAAACGGTCCAACCAAAAGTGAAGTTAGATCACAGAGAATTGACAGAAGCGATGTTGACAGCGCGCGCTCCCACAGAGCGATACCAGGGTTGTGTCAAACAATAACAGGGTTGTGCCAAACAATAACAGGGTTGTGCCCAGACATCATATATCATAATCAAAGACATGTAACGAACTAAAAACGTTACAATATTAAGTTTTCAATTCGTTCAGTTCAGTCAGACAGTTCATTGCTGTTTTTGTTTTTATAAAAAAACTTAATTAAAATAGGACGTAAGAAAGGCACATATAAAACTAAATTATAAATATACATCGACATATTACCGATACTTTATCCACTCCCTGGTTTATTTAGAATATAGAGGGCGGGACAAGCAAATTTTGCTTTGACGTTTGACAATAATTGATGGCCATGTCTAGACTCTAGGATGACTAAATTAGACAATTTTGTGACTAGTATACTACTAGTTAAGTTAAGGCTTAACTGCGACTTTATTAGTCCAGTATGCGACTACTCGAACTACTCCATCTTAATCTCCAAAACAACAAAGTGAAAGCAGCCATGTTGTTGAATAAGAAAATGTTTCGTTCCTAAAATAGCAATCCTGCTTTTTGAATACATTAACTGGAAATATTTGACTTATATTGCTCTCGAGGCCGTAGGCCGTGAGAGCTAAACATTTCCCAGCGTGATTGAATTTTGACCGTTATTTCTTACCAACACGGTAAATATAAAATTCCTCTGTCAAAAAAGTTACTGATATTCTTTAAATTCAGTGCCTGAAAGAATCAGATAGGTAACTCTTTTTACTTCCGTAAAATAGAAAAGGAAAATAATAAAACAAGTGACAGTTCTTCCTCTTCTTCCAAAAATCAACACGAAATGTCATAATTGTCAAAAGTAAAATATCATCAGCTTTTGACATTTCTAAATATCAGACCAATGCCGTCTCTAATAGAACAGCCTCGGAGAGAGATTTATGACGTCACGCTAGTTAGATACTACGGATTAATAAATATGTTGTAGATCTAACTAGCGTGACGTCATAAATCTCGCTCAGAGGATGTTCTATTAGAGACGGCATTGCGTCAGCATGGCCGCAAGTTGCTAACCTTATAAAATAAACACTAAAAAAGCCCGCGGGAACTGTCAAATTGAAAGTTATTCATTTCACAGACTATACTTTAAATAACTATTTTCTCAAAATTTCAAAAATAAAAAAGGTTTTCCTCTTGTAAAGATAATCCGGGGACCTACTGTTATATTTTATACAGGGTCAGTCTTAAATAAGTGTTTTAGGGCTAGTGGATCTTGATAAAAGGGACATATCTTTTCTTTGCCGTTTTTTAAATATTACTAAGTTCAAAATAGCCAAGTTATTTTACTTTGAAAATTTAAAAAGAAAATATATTTTACTTAAATTTTGTAATTAAAAAAAATTAAAAATGTTGCTATATTATTAAGAAATAAAAAAATGTTTTTAACTAAAAATAAAAAAATATATTTTATGTTAAAAAATACAAAATTTTCAATCTTTTTGGAAAAAAACCTCATAAGCAGGGGTCAAAATATACCACCTTTAAAATATATGCACTTATTTAAGACTCGTCCACATAATTAAATAGTTATATTCCTTAATAAAATCCACAAACCCCAGCTAAAAATACAAAAACTGGGTCATTACACGGTATGAATGCTTTTAGTATCAGGCGCAAAATCATAAACCCCCTCATCAATCAGAGGCAACGACCCAGAAAAAATGTCATTCATATCCAAATTCCTGGAAAACGAGAAGCAAAAGGTATAAAAGAAAGGGAAGGCTTTTTAAATTAAAAAAAAAATCGAGGTTTCATCAAATTACGAACAAAAAGCACGTGTCGACGAAACTTGACTAAGAGTCTGATTTTCCAGATTTTTTAAATCGGAATTTCATTAATTCTCCTTTTTCTTTTGACGTTCCAGCTGAGAAATCGAGTTAGAGACGCCACCTTCATCAGGAAGAAGACTTATTAATTAAAGAGGTGTTTTATCTTTAATGAAGACTGATTTGATTTTGGTCGTTCTAGTTTTTAAGAAAAATAAATATTTTGCTAAATATTTTATTGATTTTTGTTTTAATTTTTCCTAATTATATTTATTTCAATCATAGCCCAATTTAGAATGAAAATATAAAAATAATATAAATAGATATAAATAATATAAATAGATATAAATAATATACAGGGTGTGTTTTCTACGATGTTCTCTATGGGTATCTCGGAAACTACTGGAGATAGGGAGTCGGTGAAATGGGGAAAGATTGCGGTTTGGTGAGGCCATAAATATGCGCCATTATGAAGTCATGACCAACTATAGTTTCCATTTAAAAAAACATATGTTTGTGTCATATGTCAAAAATGACAGGCTTTAGAAAAAATGGAGGACACAGTCTCATTAAGGATGTGATTATCTACAACTTTTATTTGAAAACTTTTTGTCTAAAATAGATTATAATGGAATTAGGGACAATTTTTAGGACAGCCAATTTTTGTTTCGAAATATCTATTAAGTCATGAACTTTTTCAAAAATCTGAAAGGCGCATATTTATAATCCCACCAAACTGCAATTCTTTTCCCATTTTTTTTTCCACAATAAGGGGCCGTCCTCTGCCGGAAACACTGCGACCTGTGAGGCCTATTGTGTTTGTCCCCTTTCTATATCTGCACCCATTCTCCTATCCCTGTGCCCTGCACTAACTTATGCAGGTCCTTGATAGGATGGGAGCATAGTTCCTCCGGTTCTAGCCTAGCTTTCCCAAATAAAAGTGTCGCTTGCGATCCAGAGCTCGCAGTGACATATTATGTGCTCCGCTGTTTCAGGATCTTTAGCGCAAAGTCTGCAGCAAAGACTTCCTTGATACAGATTGAGCTTGTTCAGGTAACACTTGACAGCCATATGTCCTGTCAAGAGGACTGTTGTAATCCGCAATTTATTCCTGCTAAGCATTAGCAGTTCTTTTGCGGTTTTGGAGCTAGGTCCTTGGATAAAAGCCTTGCTGTGCCTGTGCCCGTGTCGGTTTCTCCAGTGGACATTCTGCTTTTTCCTGATCCAGAGTTTTAGTGCACTACGGGCCATACATTTGGGTATTCCCAGTACTGGCTCTGGACCAAGATAAGATGCCGATGATCCTTGCCTAGCTAGCTCATCGGCTTTTTCGTTGCCTTGGATGCCGCTGTGGCCCGGCACCTAGAATAATTTAATTCTGTTCCGTCGAGCCATAGCTTCCAGTTCACCTAGGCATTCCCAGACGGTCTCGACGATACCTTTGGGCTCATAAGCGCTCCAAGTGCCGCCTGACTGTCTGAGCATATATTGATGAGCTTATCTGAATAAGCTCTTCTATTGTTTTCTCTCGCACATTGTAGAATGGCGAAGATTTCTGTCTGGAATACGGTTGAGTGTTTACCCAAGGAAAATGATAAACTTGCCCTTGGTCTTTCCCCAAATACTCCAGCTCCTGTTCCTTCAGCGGTCTTTGACCCGTCTGTATACCAGGTTAGTCCATCCTGAAGGAATGTTATATCTGTCCACATTCCTCGATCCATTTTGTTTACCTCGAATGGTTTGTGGTAGTGATAAAGAGGGGTCATTTGGTCCGATCTCATTTGGAGTAGAGGTCCCTCAATAGGATTTCCCATCTTTGAGTGTCCTGTTTCTGTCCTATTTCCCAAGACACTTTGTTGTTGATAAAGTCCCATTCTTGCCTCCGCCTAGATCACTATGTGAAGAGGCGGAAGGTCCAGAAGCGCCTCCATTGATGCAGTGAGCGTTGATTTCATGGCCCCTGTTATGCTCAGACAAGCAAGTCTTTGCACCTTGCTGAGGCTGAGCATTGTTGTTTGTTGCATTACCTTAGGCCACCATACCAAGGATGCATATGTTACTGAAGGCCTCACTACTCCAGTGTACAGCCAGTGCACCATCTGTGGTCTAAGGCCCCAGATTTTTCCATGAAAGCGTCTGACTACCGCTAGTGTAGTCACCGCCCTCCTTGTGACATTTTCCAAATGTCGGTTCCAGGTCAGTTTGGTATCAAGCGTGATTCCTAGATACTTGACCTCCCCCGAGAGAGCAATCTCATCGCCGCAGAGTCTCAGAGGGCCTAGTCCCTCAAGTATTCTGCGCTTGGTGAAGAGGATTATTACGGTCTTTGTAGGACTAATATTTAGTCCCTCCCGTGTCACCCATAATTCCACAATCTTCAAGGCCCTTTGCATTCGCTCCCTTACTGTTGTGTTAAACTTACCTCTGACTAACACGACCAAATCGTCTGCATATCCCAGAGTGTTGAAACCAGCCCTGTTGAGACTATTAAGCAGTCCGTCCATAACGAGATTCCACAGCAGAGGGGAGAGAACTCCCCCCTGCGGGCATCCTCCCGCCACCCGGACTGCAACAGACTCATTTAGGAGGGTGGTATATGCAGGTCTCCTCTAATCCGAGGTTCCTTGTAGCTCTCGTCAGTGACTGAAATGAGGTGTTATCAAACGCCCCTTCTATGTCGAGGAATGCCCCTAAAAGCACTTCTCTTGTTTCGAACGTCGACTCCACTTTGCTTACTAGCTGATAGAGTGCCGATTTCCCATTTAACCGACTCTCTATCTCCAGTAGTTTCCGAGATACCCATAGAGAACATCGTAGAAAACTCACCCTGTATAAATAGAAATTATAAAAAATACTTGGTAATTCAATCGTAATATTTCTGTTTAATTTTTATTTAACAACGAATTCGCGAAACTTAGGCAACATATTCTGCAGATAATACAACGATAAAACAACGATTGTATTCACACGTTTCATGTTTTGCTACATTCAGTATTCAGTTGGTCCAAACATTCTAACGTGGTGATTTCGTATAGACATGAAAATGGTTAAAACAAAATTGAAACCAGGTGTTCGCGAAGTTTGTTTACAATTAGCAAATGAATTACAGAATATTCTGGTGAATCAGAAAAAAAAAAAAAAAACGTCGTAGGTGGTCAGGTCCTGGATGGTGCGAAGAAATCAACAGAAGGGTGCTAGTGAAACTATATTAAAAGAATTAATTAACTTAACTTGTAAACTGCACAAATCACGAAAATGTAGTTCTCACGCTTCAGTTTCTATTCATTATTCGATAATGATCAGTCAAAATGAAAAAAAGTAGAACTGGTTTTCACTTTAAAGGCGGGTTCTCACTTGTCAGTTCCGCTGACGCAGTCTGACTGATTCAGTGATACTGAACGAACAATGAACGTCAGAACACATTTTCATGTTAAATGATCAGTACATTCGTACTTTCAGTTAAAGTGAAAACCAGTTCTACTTTTTTTCATTTTGACTGATCATTATCGAATAATGAATAGAAACTGAAGCGTGAGAACTACATTTTCGTGATTTGTGCAGTTTACAAGTTAAGTTAATTAATTCTTTTAATATAGTTTCACTAGCACCCCGTTTATTTCTTCGCAATATCCAGGACCTGACCACCTACGACGTTTTTTTTTCTTTTCTGATTCACCAGAATATTCTGTAATTCATTTGCTAATTGTAAACAAACTTTGCGAACACCTGGTTTCAATTTTGTTTTAACCATTTTCATGTCTATACGAAATCACCACATTAGAATGTTTGGACCAACTGAATACTGAATGTAACAAAACATGAAACGTGTGAATACAATCGTTGTTTTTTATTTTTCATTGATAATGAATCAGTCAGACTGCGTCAGCGAAACTGACAAGTGAGAACCCGCCTTAACTGAAAGTACGAATGTACTGATCATTTAACATGAAAATCTGTTCTGATGTTCATTGTTTGTTCAGTATCACTGAATCAGTCAGACTGCGTCAGCGAAACTGACAAGTGAGAACCCGCCTTAAAAATAAGTAAAAACGTTAGTATCAATTTATGTCTTAAACGTATCGTTTAGGGTGCATAAATTTCATTTTTATTTCGATTTTTTTTAAATAAGTTCTAAAACTAATGCCGATATTTGGATGAAAATTGATATCTGGTTTTTTTGACATGAGAAATTGGATTTTGATGTCGATATGGTTCGTGCTTATAGGGGCGCCCCCTACATATTTTGACTGGTTTGAAGAGTAAAAACTTTTCTTCTGTACATGTATAAAACGACTGAATGAAAAAATATACACTTCGGTTTTTCTCTTTTCTTTTCGCGGTTTTTCTTTTTTGTGGAAAAATCCAAATAAAATTAAATTTCTACACCCTGTATCTCCAAAACGAAGAAGTTTAGGGGTCATACATTTATACGAACTTTTTTATTTATTTATCTCTGCACAGCATGCTTCGTGAAGTTTCCCGAATACAATTTGGATCACCCTGTATAAGCATCTCTTTCAATAATGATCAAGCCAATAATAGTAACAAAAGTTATTAAAAAAAACGAAATAATAATTAGACAAAATAATTAAATTTACGTACGCATTTTCTTTTTAGCCTATCAAGCTTTAAAAAGAAAATTTGCACATAAAGCAGGTGTACCGCTGTTAAATGTTTTTCTCAATTTAATTTACTTATACGTTTAAACAAAAAAAATATAATTATACAATATGATCGAAAAAAAAACGGGGTCAGTGATGACTGTAAAATGAAGATCTCTATCATTTTATATGTAAAACTACATAGGGAATGACATCGATGTTCATTTCCAAGCCAAATGAACGCTGATTTTTTCGATCATACGGTATCTACATTTGGTTATGTAATAGATATTTATGATACAAGTGAGTTAACAGCATCATTAAGATACGCGTGAGAAAGTTGCACAACGAGTGCGTAGCACGAGTTGTGTAACCACACAACTATCTTAATGGAGTTAACTTCCGTGTATTGTATAATAGTTTATCTACGTCTAACTATAAAAACACACAATCAATTTTAAAAATTATTGTACTTAACTATATACCTATCTTAAAAATCAATTACCTTAATACTTTGTTCAAATAGCACCATGCATGGCAATGTCAATATGACAGAAAATAATATTATTATATAATATATCCCATTAGTTTAAAGAATGAGCGATTCGGAAAGTATTCCCTCTGACATTGAA